CAGCCCCGGGGCAGCCTGGCAGCGGGGCTGGAGAGAGCGGGGGGCCGGGAGCCTGAGGGGATGAGGAGGTGGGTTCGGGGGGCTCGCTCCTCGGGCCGCTACTGGTGATGGCCCAACGGGCTCACCTTGCTCCTGAGGAGACAGGCGGCTGGCCCGAACCATGAGCCTGTTTTCTGCTTTTGTGCGATTTTCTATATGTACGCACACACTATATTCGTTCATACTTGTGTTTGAAGGACCCTGTGGGGCGGTTGTGCCCGTTAGACCTTCTGGAGCAGCCCAGGCTGCTGCCTGGCAGGGTGGCTCTCAAGGCCCTGTGCCCTCAGGCCCGCGGCCCTTCCCTGGCCTGATTCCAGGGGTGTTAATGCCTCATTCGTTCGGGCCTTCTTTTTAGGCTTAGAGGGGTTATTTCCTGTTAAAATATTTATGTGTGCTAAAATGCAGTTTTTAATAAAAGCTGGGATAATTGGAAGTGTCCTAATGGTTATGACGCTAATTACATGATAAGTTATGTTAGTTTGCTTAAAAAATTTAGATACTAACAAGTCACAGTAAGTGTAAAGCTAAGGCTTAGCAGAACCATTTGTCTTGGACCGCATAGTAATTAATCAGATATTTCCTGTTTTTTTTTGTTGAGCCATACATATACAAATCTAAAAATTGTCTAAACTGGAGGATAAAATAAATTATAAAATAGATGAGAGACAAGAAAGCAAGCACCTGAGTGAGAAATCTTATTTTTCCACCCTTGCCAGAAAAGCTAAAGAAGATTTAAAATGTTCCAGTTAATGTAAACACAATGTAGGTGTGGCGTATGGAGAATGACAAATTATGGATCTTGGCTTTTTATGTTTGAATATTTATGGCTTTTTGTAAAAAGGTTATTTTTATATAATTATATGCGGAGGGAACTAGTGCCTAGTTTTGCTAATTCCTGTGTTGTAATTCTCTGAATAGAACTGAGATCAGGTCTACCCCTTAAGTGTGAATTTAACACCACTGAAAACAACAAACTCTGTAATTTGATATGCTACAAACTACTTCAGAAAATAAGAATTAACTTTTTTATTCTAGCATTAGCAAAATATTATGGATAAGAACTTTCATGACGAGCAGTGTAGAGGAACTGTAACATTTACACCTCCATTGTACAAACAACGCTACCAGTTCATTAAGGATTTAGTGGGGAAATACAAACCTAAGAAGGTTGGTATGTTTTGTCTTTTTGTGTTATATGTTAGAAAAAAGTTAGCATTAGCTATCTCGGGAAGGCAGGGAATGTGTCAATAACCTGCTGACTCAGTTACCAAACAATAGTGGAGAAGCTGTTATTGGAACTGAGTTGCCTTAGACCCTTGATGATTGTGTTTTGTTTTTCAAGGGTGAACATATTTACTGTGAGTTGATGGGAAGAGGGGAGAATCTAAACAAGAAAAGTGTCTTAGCTGTTTTTGGAGAGTAGGTGGCATTCTGGTTTTAATTTAATACTGAGGATTTTGTTTCAAACTGCTTTAATCGTAGTATGGTTTTTCTTCCTAGAGCCGTTAGTTCCATGTACACTGTCAGGTTTAGCTTATTATTCACATGGGTGTTCTCAAATGAAACGTGATAATAAGAGTGTAGGATTTTGTGAGGCTAGGTCTCCTCTACTTTAAGGTCTTGTGGACCTCTCCTGTTTCCCCCCCAAATATACTAGGACTCTTGTTTTGTTACTAATTTTGAAAAGTTAAATTATTTAAGAAATGTCATGTAGTGTTGGCACTTTTCTTGTTTGTCTTCCTTCCCAGCACCTCCTCCCAATATGTAAAAAGTTGAAAAATACTTCTGCCCTCAAGTGTTGAACTCTGAAACTGATGTTAATGTCTTAGGGGGCATGCTCGAAATGGCTGAGAAATGCACCTGCAGGGTGTTCATGTAGTCATACTTGTAGCACCTAATAAATATTTAATCCAGTCTGTGAGGCTACAGCACTATAATCTGCTTTTAAATAGAAAGTATTCAGGAGTGTTGCATCTGTATTTAAAGGTTTGAATTTTCTGATGTTGGATGTGAAGTGGGAGGAGTATAAACTTTCTGTTTACCTGCAGGGTAGTTAGTTAAATAGTTCAGGATTTTCACATGGGTACTGAGCAGTGTGTTTTAAAATTGACTTAGTCTGAGGAAGGACAGTGGGGTTTGGTTTGTCCCCTCGACTATCTCTTAAGCTTGCAGGGAAGAACATCTATTACATGTTTGACTCGGTGTTCTGGATATCCCCCAGCCTTCCCCACTTAAACATCAGACTGAGCCTGTAAACTTGTTTTATGGAGCTTTTTTTAATACTAACCTGGCTGCTCATGAGCCTGTTCTTCATGTTTTGTATGGAGAGTGGTCTGGTGAAAAGCAGTGGTGAATGTGAAAATTGCTACAGCTTTAATATTGAAAATAATACCTTACAGTTATTTGGAGGAATATGCCTTCATGTGAAATATGTTATCCAGAGTGTGTCAGTGGTATATTCTACATATACTTGTTATAGCTGTAATAGCAAAAGTTTAATTTTAAATGTCTTGTAGGATTGTCATATAGATTTTTAAAAGAAGAATTTTAAAATCCATGTCTGTCCTGATTGCAACTGTAAAATCTAATTACGATTGTGAAATGCTTGATTTGTCTTTTAAAAGTTATTTTTACATATTTTTTTAATTTTTATTGAAGTCTCTGAAAATACTTGGAATTATGCAGCATTTATACATTGTTTCATACCTAATTTACAGGTGGCAGATCTAGGATGTGCTGACTGCACACTTCTCTGGATGCTGAAATTCTGCCATTGTATTGAAGTGTTAGCTGGGCTAGATATCTGCGAACGAGTAATGAGAGAAAACATGTAAGCCCTTGAATTGAGTTAATTTAGGTTTGTATTTGGCTTGACCTCTTGACATGTTACACCATTTCTTGTCAGGAATTTCAAAATAAGGGTAAATGCAGAAATACCAGCTTGGCAAATGAAGATCTACACTTTTTTGTTAGTTAGGCTTCACCTGTGTCTAGTGTCTGCTGGGCTGTAGATGGCCATAATGTCACTCAAGAGTAGCTTAGATCCAATGCATGGAATGGCCTTGAAAGTGGGTACATCGGAGAGACACAGTTTAGTAAAGGTACAAATACATGATATTAGTCATAACTGTTTGTACTTACACATGACATTACTGTGGTATGCAAATCTGATCTTCCTGAAACATGCATATAACTCGTTCACTGTGGTGGGGACTTGATTTTATTAACCTTTTCAAAATGGGAAAGTTAGCTCAATGTTTTGCGTCTGCCTTAGAAAGCTCTAAAATGTAAAGTATGTGAGCCTTGAACCAAAGTTTCTCTTGGAAGCTGATTAATATGGTTTCAATGCATGTGTAGGATCTAGATGCCAAAAGTATTGTTTGCTCTTTTTCAAGATTGAAGAAAAGTAGACTTTTATTATATCTAATGTTTATTATGTGTTTTGTCTGATGCAGTATTTCAGAATGAAATCAGCACACTTTTAATTCTTAGTCTGATTTCTTTGGAAGAAAAATAGGTTATTGTTCTTACCAAGTAGCTTCCCCAAAAACCCTCTAAAGAGAGTTTAACCAGACTTCCTGTGTGTGTAGAGTGAGCTACTATAAGAATTCACAAGTGGCTTTCCAAGTGGCTTAAGAGTGTAGTGGAAATTCTTGTAAACATGAAGCACAACTGCTGGATTAACTCCTCTTTCTGTTTTATTATAGGTAGCCATAGAAAGTGTTTGTATTAGCAATTAATTTTTTATACCTGTAAAATAGTTAACCTTTTTTGAGATTATTTTTTATACTTATAAGATAGTAAACCTTTTCTGAGATTTACAGAGTATCTATGTAGGATGTTAGAAAGTTCAGTTACATGCACAGTTTATCTTGTTCTAAGGTCCTTTCTTTGACATTGTGGTTTTAATCCTTTTGTAGGTATAGATTGTCTCCTCTTCCTGGTGATTATTTGCAACCAACTGAAAGATCCCTAACTATTACTTTGCATCATGGTTCAGTTGCCCATAAAGATCCTTGCATGCTTGGTTTTGACTTGGTAACATGTATAGAACTGTGAGTATTCAGCCAACATAGCACATTTAGAAAAGTTTGTTAAGGGTTCAGTTTGAAATTTTATCCATACTCTAAACAGACTAGATCAAACCTTTCAAGCAGAAGAGTAGCAGAATGTGGCATCTTCCTTCTAACTAGTGCTTAAATTAACCGTACTAAGAAATCTTAAGTGGTGCTAGCTTATGGTGGAAAAAATACATTTATTAATAAGTGCAAAATGCAAGAGGAAATTTTCTCCAAAACCTCTAAGGTGCCACTCAACCACAGTGCTAGTGCTAGTGTTGCAGAGCTGGGCTTAAAGTTGCAAGGTACAGATTTGGGTTTGGGTTTATAAAGAATATTAAAATATAGTTTTTAAATGTTTTTAAAGACATGCTTAAACTTACTCTTTACAGAATAGAGCACCTGGAAGAATCAGAACTCAAGAAATTTCCTGAAGTAGTGTTTGGTTTCATGGCTCCAAGCATAGTTGTCATCAGTACTCCAAATTCTGGATTTAACCCTTTGCTTCCAGGAGTGACATTATTCAGGGATCCAGACCACAAATTTGAATGGAACAGAGTGCAGTTTCAAAGCTGGTAAGTTTACTGAACATCCTATGCAGACAGCTTTGAGTGTTCAGTAATGTGAGAAAGGAATATATATATATGTTTTCAGGATGTTGGTGTATCTGGTTTGGCATCAGTGAAGTTTTACACCTACTGATCTGGTAAAACTTTTTTTTGCTGTTATATTTAGTTATAACTGTATATAAAAAACTGTGGGTTTTGCATTTTTATGATGGTTGTGAAGTTGACTTGCCTTTACTGTAACTGCTCTGCAAAAAATATTTAAAACTTTTGCTTTCCTTTATATATTACAAGTAATGGTTTTTAAGTATAAGGTAGTAATTAGCCTTTTCACACAATAATACCCTGCTATAGTAATGCTTCATGAAAACCTGAGAAATGTGCTCACTATGTATAGCATATAATCAAAGCACTCAACTAGTCCAGACCTTTCTGAGTATGTGAGCAGATGCATCAAATGATCACAGTAGCAGAGCATGAGTAAAGTTGAGGATAGTTTAGTGGATCATGGCACAATGGAAGATTTCTTGCAAAATATATACATGACAAAGGGTTGCATGAGATGTATCTTAGTCCAGTTTCAGTAGATATAACAAAAACAAAACAAAGAGGGAGTGAGATACATATCCTGTGGTAACATTCAACCGTCAGGCTGTTGTGGAAGAGAATATATGGTACAGTGATGGATGCCATGTATCTGTAGCCAACTCTTGGTCAGAAATTAGAGGATGTCAGGTAAATTTAGATTCTGCTTTTGGTTATATGTGAATTAAAATACTGATAACTCTGAAGAAGTGGTGTTCTCTGAGCTGCAAACATGAGTCTTTACATTTGTGTTGTCTAATAGCAGTATTGCAATATTCTCTAAAATACATGAGAAATTGATTTAGTTTAGTATTTTTTTGTGAAGAATGATTCAAGTAGGTACTGCCATTTTGGTTCCCTGCCCTATCCCTTTTTTCATACTGGCTAATGTGCAGTACTACAAGATTGGTTTTGATTTAGATGTCATGTATGTTGTTTTGACCTTGATTAGGTAGACTTTAGACTGTTACAGCAAGCCTCACTTTTTTTCTGTTAACCTGTCTCTTGAAGTTTTGGGGTGTGTATGTTTTGTATGGGTTCTATTCAATTAATTTTTTTCTCTGAAATTGGTAGTTTTTAACTTGCTTGCAATGTATTTAAGATGGTAAGTAACTGAAAGTGCATATTCTAGGTATTTTAGGTATCACAGCAAGGTTTTGTTGTCTAAATTACTGATATTAAATGATTCAGACTACAGTAGGCTTATGATTACATCTCTGATTCAGCAAGTTTTGACAGTACTTGTCTTCAGGAATGTGATTATTATTACAGAAATTATGCTTAAGCATTGAGAGGCTCAGGGTCTTACTTCTGTTAGAGAATGCATGTTTATCACATTAGAAGTCTGATATTTAGTATGATCAGAATAACTTCTCTTTCTTAGGGCTCTAGAGACTGCTAGTCGCTATGATTATTCAGTGGAATTTACTGGCTTAGGGCACCCACCAACAGGAATGGAGAATGTTGGGTTTTGTACCCAAATAGGTGTGTTTGTTAGAAAATATCCTCAAACTAGCGGATCTGCTCATCCTGAGAAACCCACTGAAGCAGTTTACAAAACGGTAAGTAGTGTGTTCTTCCATTAAGAGAATGAATAAAGAGTAAGATTTTCTGTGACCTGCCTGTGAAGGTAGTCTGTGGTCTGCTGTTGCTATCCAGTCTTACCTCTGAGGAAGACGCACCATCAGAGAAAAAGAGTCTTTAAGTCTATGATTTGTGTTTCTAATTGTACAAAGGTCTTTAACTTGCAGGTTATTTGCTGACTAGCAGTTTGGATAATCGTTCTGGTTTTAACATACTATTAAACTTAGAAGGAAAATTTTCCGTCAGTTATACTGTGACACTATTTTTGTAATTGTTCCTCTAATAATTCATTTTTTCATCATATGGTTGTTGACATTAACACAGACTTTTCAGATACATAGAAAATCAAAAGTATATAAAGCATTTCTAACAAGTATATGTTTTGAAGAACTGCATAGTCCTGTCAAATATAAAATCAGCAATGAAAGCATTTCCCTGAAACTGGATTGACAGAACCTGTTTTATGTGGTGTGCCTTCCTGAATAGCATTTGATGTTAAAACTTAATCTGTCTTTTCATGTAGCCAGTTCTTGTTTTTGTAGAGACATGGGATCTTGCCAAGTACCCGGTTCTCTGGTGGTGCACATCAAACCTTTTTGGTTTCTAGCACTAAATGGCTTTCACTTTAGATAACATCAAGTAATATTTTTAAGTATTCTGCTGTATCTTGTAGTGTGCCACACTGATAAAGCCTAATACATCTAAGTAAGTGCCATGTGGTATCATTAAAAGGATGAGTTATGTGGGAAGCAAGAGGATTACAATGAATTAAAGAATTGCAGGACCTCACCTTGCCTGATCTAGCAGTTTACTTGGTCAATTAGCTTATTTTATTTCCATTCTAGTAGTAACACATAAAATTAAGTCATATTATCTAGTTTTTGTTATCTGAAAGTGTTTAAAGTAATAAGCAAAACAGGATTGAAAAAAAAAATATTCACATTTCAGAAGCTCTTGTTGACAAGCAAATTTTAAAATCTGAGCCTATGGTGATGATAAATGTTTAATGTGTTTTTGTATTTTGTAAAGGTCTTCAAAGCAGTGTATCCAAGTCTTAAAGATGAGAAGTACCTGCAGAATGCAGTAGTCAGTGAAGTTTTTTTCACAGCACAAATCATTAAGCAAAGTCTGCTGGACCATTTAATATCAGAATGTGAAGAGTATAATGATGATCCTACTGAGAGAAAATCCAAATTCCAACTTTCAATGAAGTTTCTTTCAGAAGATCTCAGAAAACTGGTTGTTGAAAAAAACATGGAACCATTTGTGAATAAAAATGTGCTTTATATACCTCTTAAAACAATATTTTCTTTTCCCAAAGTGAATAAACTTTGTGGTACCTTTGACAGATTTTGCAAGCTTATAGCTGGTAAGGTCACACTGAGCAGTGATGGTTCTGCTGTGATATTCAATAATGAAAATGAAAATGAAGATAATTAGATCAGATTTCTTACACAGATTTCACTTAATTATTTTTTTACAAAGTTCTTTTCTACGAGTTCCAATATCTATCAGCCCCCTTCTCAATTAGTGAATATAAGTGCTTCTGAGAACGATGGTGGTAATTTGTGGAGTTTTTGAACTAGAGTATCGGGCTAAAAGGGAAGGTTTAATTCCAGTGAAGAAAAATTTTAAGTATTTCAGTTTGTTTTCTATTGCCATACTGTAGCTATAATGACAGGATTTTTTCTGGTAATCTTTTGTTAGCTCCAAGGATAGGTAATGGTAACACAGAACTATGTTGTTCGTAATGGTTGGTCTTTTGATTACATTAATGCATATTTGTGAATAAATGCAGTTTTGTGTCCCATTTAAACTGGTAATTTGACCAGGGTAAATTCTGATGTCTCAACTAAGGCTGCTGAAAGGAAGTTTATCAAGTTTTAGACTTGTGGTACAGTCACTGACCAGGAGAGGGCACACACATCTGGAAACAGATCAACCTTAGATTGTTTAAAACTTAAGATTCAAATAAAGTACATTAAAAAACCCACCAAAAAAAAAAACAAACACAAAAAACACTATCTCACCACAAACAAAAAATCAAAACAGTGCATTATTTTTAATATAAGCGATGTGACTTGAGAGCTGCTGAGCAAGTTAGTAGCGATTGGTTATGGTCAGAATAGGTGAACAGAATGTTTCTGATCAGTGAGAGGAGTAAATTGTCTGCTTCCCCAGAGATTTCTCAAACAAATAGATCTTGCAGCTAATAGAGTTCTGATGCATTCTAGTCCTGTCTGCCATAGATTTCCATGGTATTAATCTCTATGCCATACTTACTATGTTGATAAATGAGGTTTGGGTAAATCAGTTACATACAGGTTATGTCTAACTCCTAAGGGCTAGTTGTTAGGAGTTGTTTGGTGTTGTATTTAAACTGAGTGGACAAAACATAGTAAGGAGCTTCTTAAATGACAGAAAAATTCGTATGTGAAAGTCCTTTGCACTTGCTTCCTCATTCACCAAACAAATACATTTTAATGCAGTCCTGTATGCAGCTGGTTCACTGGGAACATTCCTAAAATAAAATGCACTGACACATAGTCAAATGAGGATTACTGTGGAAAAATTAGTAGATCATAACACACTTGAAAAAACCACCCTGACAAAACAAAAAAAATCAAAACAAAACCAAACTAAAAAACTAGTGTCTTCTTTACAAGAATTGGAACCATTTTAGTTGTACAGGAAGGGCAGTGCACACAACTCTGAACTGAGGCAACGCTTTGCTAACTTGTGCTTAAGAGTTTTCCTTTCACATTTACCAAAAAAAAAAAAAGGAAACATGTTACTCAATTTCTAGTTCTTAAAAAGGAGGCAACAGAAGGAAAATAACCTGTTCCACAAAAATGTTAACAAATGTGTCAAGATGTGTTTGTCTTTCCCCTTCTTGCTGGCAAGGCCAAGCAGGGAAGTGAATCAATGCATATGTCACAGAAACCTGTAGTGGTGTAACAGGTGGGAAGAGTAGAGCAGGCAAGAATGAGCAGCTGGGTGGGGAGAAGGCAAAACTACTTATTTTGCCTCAAGAATTGTAGAAAGTAATTTTCCCCATGCTAATCTTTGTCTCTATATTATTGTTTTCCCATGTCAGAAGGTCCACAAAAAGCACCTAAGTGTTCAAGGACAACATTTGAAGTTCTGGTGCTTCATATCTTTACCTTTTTTTTTTTTTCTGTAGTAATAAAGTATTCTCCCATACCACAGTAATGATTTTGCCTTGGTCTGTCACATATGTGCATTTGATAGTGGTGCATAGCCTTATTTTTATCTATGAGCCTTTCATTCATGAGATGTTTTCCTTCCAGATTAAAAAAGTGTGTAAATGATGTTTTCCTTGCAACATATACAGCACTAAAACAGTGTGAAAACACAGAAGTAGAAAAAGCAAAGCATTTAAAAACTACCCTACTGGTTGTATTTGCAACTGCTGCTATTCAGTAAGGTAACTAGCATCTATGAATTATGTATATACATGTATACTTCATCTTTCTAACAACTCTCTACTGTGACATCCTTAACTGGAGGATGTTTGCTGAGATGTGCTTTTTATTCTATAAGGAAACTATTGATTCATAAAACCAGAAGTGAGACAACAACCCAAAAAAGAAACTCGAGGATATTCTGAAATTTTGGAAAAATTGTCTTCCTTTTTGAATGGAAAGACAGCTGACACTGGAGTTGGTTACAGTTACTGGTAGTTATTTCTCTTAATCTTTACTACACAAATAATTGATTACTGACCTGATCTGAGGGCCAAACTGTTTGTACTATAATTAGCTGCAGTTTTCACCAATCTAGATTTGTTTAATGTGAGAACAGATGCTTACTGCAGTACCAAGGAGCTTGGCTGTTTTGAATGCATTGATGAGAAAAGAAATACATACCACACCTACTTTTGTTAGACAAATAAGTTAATTTATGAAGTTCTACAAACTGTAAGAAAAGTTTAAGTAGTAGGAAGTCTTTACACTCAAGTGAGGATTAATTTTATCATTTGCAGGGTGAGGAGTGACTGTACACAGTGCCCTCATTTTCCCCAAATACTGCTAATTCTGGAGTCTCTGTAATAATTAACTTACCAACGTGCCTCACACTTTACAATTGATTTTGCTGACTTTTTCTCTAGGAGCCAGCTCAATACATACTAGTAAGGGTGCCAAATACTTTGTGAACTGGAAGTGGAAGTTTAATAAGCTGCAAAGGTAAAGTTTGAAAAGCAGTAGAGAAACTGAAATGGCCACAAACATCGAGTAAAGTTTGTAATTTTTGCATAACAAAATACAATTGTTTAGAAGCAAATTCCTAGCTGAAGACATGAGTTTATTGAATGTCTGACAGATTTGTACTTAAATACAGTAAAAAAAAAACAACAAACACAGTTTACAGTTAGAGAATCACTCTGTAAGGAGTTGTAACTCAAAGTCAGGACAATACATTACTAGGATACCGTTTTATTAAGAGCTTGATTTCCATGTGAGCGTCCCTCCTATTTAAAAGATCTTGGGCAAGAAAATAATTGGTTTCTAGTAAACAAAGTATCTTATTTACCGCAGTTAGCTATGTCTTTTAATACAGAGTACACATCTGGGTTATGGAAATTCCCTTAAGAGTTACATAAGTAGCTGTACAACATGTTTTAAAAGTCTGTTTTCCTCAAACTATGCCTACTTTTCCTAGCAAAATTAAGGAAACTACCATCTAACTACAACTGGTTTTAATACATTTGTCAACAAGCGTAGCAGTGTTAAAAAATACTGAAAATTTATTCAAATTTCATGCATTTTTTTGGCTTGCAGTAGGATTTTTTTTGGTACTAATTAATTATATAACAGCAAAGGAAACTCATACTCTGAGTTGTATACTTGTGGTTATGTAGTTTGTTTAAAATTCATGTGAAAGGCAGAAATGGATAATACGACACTTCTCTTAACAGCAGCTAAAAGAGAAACTTAATATTAATTCTTTTACCCATTAAACACCTCAAAGAGATTATAATTAACATTAGGAAAGAAAAGTATTTAGGTACCGTAACTAAGAAATAGGTCGTATTAATCATAATTCAATTACAGTGCTCAAGCTTTAACATCTGGAATTTCCTTGAACACAAACATTAGTTTACTAACTCTGCTATGGATTTATGGAAAACAAAGCCTGCTTTTCCTCATTCAACCCATTAAATATGGCCTACTTTTAATTCAATAAAAGGATGTCAAACATCACTCTGAGCAGAATTTTGAAGTATTCAGAGTTTTCCAAAATGGCCACACTATTTGTATTTTTATTTTATCCAAGCCTTACTGATAAACAGCACAACTAATCATAATAAAATTAAGGGCATTTGTAGTTTACAGCTAAATACAGCAGAGCCAAGCCTGAATTAGCCCTGTCACCTAACACATCCCTTTAAGAAACAATTCTTTTATAATTCTCAGTGAAAATTCTAAGAGTTCTTCCATCTTTCTTGCATGTCAGGCAAATCACTATTTGTGCACATTTAAATACAGTATGTTATTTTAACATAACAGTGGACAGTGAAGGAAGAAATGTTCAACATATCTGCTGCACAGCAAGACTTTTTCAGAGTGCAGAGTAAATCTACAATAAAGTGCTTATCTTAATAAGTTATCTTGATGATAGTATAGATGTTAACCTAATTTTAAAGCTTACATTGCTTTGTAAATAGTTTAATCTCCTTGTACCTCCCAAATCTCAAAAGGCACATTCAAAACACAAGCAAAGCACTAACTAAACTACAGTAAAAAGTTGGTAGTAAACTGCTGACTAGGTTTGTAAACAGTACCATCCCACTGAATCTCAAGATTCATGCATTATTGAAGTGAGTTTCTGTGGAAGCAGCTTTTGAATTCCACATTTAACAATCAAGCCAGTTTTCTTGATAATGCACCAGTGTGCCTTAGTATTTTGATGTGGAAGCCCAGTTCTGTCACTTGCATGGAAACAAAATACTGAAATGGGACTCACTTAATCATGCTTCCAAAAACATTTCACACAACTTAAAAAGCAAGTAATTCCACTAACATCAGGAAGAACTTACCACAATAGCCCAAGTGGTTGCACAAGGTATATGTAGTTAAACATTGCCTTCATACCACAAAAATGAAGCTCTGTGAGCAAGAGACACTGCATACTTTTAAAAAGAAAAAGATCCAATTGAGTTCATTTTGTCTTTCAAAACTTGCAACAGAGCAAAAAAACCCTGAAGTATCAACACCAGAGCTGCAAGTTTTCCTCTTGTCATTCTAGCGTTTTATCACCACCTGCTCATATGCTCCAGATCCTACTCTGAAAGAATGTTTGAAAGAAGCGAGGTCAATTTCTATTTATATGAAAGCTAAACAGCAAGTACCACAGATGAGCAAGTCAAGTATTTAAAAAGAACCCAACCAACCTGCCCTGCCCAAAAAAATCAATCCCCACAACTTAACAGCTGGTACCAGAACACCTAACTGTGAAGGATAGAAATCATGCATAATTTCCATGCCACTGAGTAACCTACAGATTAATGCATGTGTTTTGTATTATACTGCAGTCAAATTGAGAACGATAAGTAACATTACTGAAAAATAAGTTATTGTTGAACTGCTCTATAGTTCCTTAAACGTTATCTTTTGGGTATACCTCCCACACCAGCTTATACTTTGTATATACATTTATATATAAATAGAGAAATGTATCTAAAAAACCCCAGTGATAGTCTTAAGTTAAAATACAAGAAAAAACATCTTCCAGTGTTTTGTTCACACTGAACTGTAGATGCATAGTTAAAAAACTGTCTCACCCCCCCACAAGACAGAGCGTAGTAGGTTGTTTTACATGGTAAAATTGCAGCACTATGACAAAAAAATAATAGGGCAAAGCTTAGTATGATATCCTGCCTGGACTGTTCTGACAAGTAAACTAGGACATATCTCTGCATGCTACTGTAGTGTGCTCTGTAACCAAACATATCATCCTGGATAGAAACTAGTGTGTCCAGTTTGCAAGTAAGTCAATCAGCTATCTTTTATCCATCCGTCTTGCTTCCTTGGGTAAAATATATTTGGTTTATAACTTTCAGCACATTATTATAGCTGCCTTTGAGCAAAACTGAAGAAAATTAGGCTTGTTATCAGGAAGACATCAAAGTTCAATACTACAAAGGTGGAACTGAGACTCTTCAGAACCTCTGAAAATTATAATTCTTATGGCTGACACATCAGTTTTATTTTGGAACTGACTTATGTGTTTTGTTTTGAAACCTGATGATGTAGTTCTTCTGGTGCCTTTAAATGATACCAAGTAGAAAAATACAAAGATCACGAATGTATATACAGAAAAATTGCTGTATAAGATTAATTTTTGCTTAGTATTACCTATGGATTAGTTGTTCCAGCTACATACCTGTTAGGGAGATGATGGCTTCCAAAAGATGTGCTTCCACCAGGGCCCACAAATAATCTTAAACCTTCTTCTAAAAAGCAAGGGAATTAACATGTTAGCTAGCTTTAACATTGCCCTAACTAAAACTAAGTAGTTTGAAATCTATCTTGTAACTGATACTTTCACATGCAAAAGTAATGAAGAAGCAAACTTCGCATGGTATAGGCTGGAGAAACTACCCTCTTTGTAGGTTTGCCCCTGCTCTTTTCAGGCTTAAAGTTACTTGGAAAGATATGTCAGTCAAGCAAGGGTCTTTTCAACTTCTGGGAGACAGGATGAAGCAGAAAATGTAGTGATCCATATCTACAGTCCTTATGATAATAAACAAGGACTGTGAAGAAAGTGGATTTTCCTAAGGCATGTAATGTGTATCAATTTTCTCTAAGCTTCCTTATTTATCTCCGTACCTTCTGCACTTGAGTCTAAACTGAAGTCTTGACTCTGAAGTATTTTTTCAACTATATCGTCAGCATCAACTCTGGTAGCATCTACCCTCTTCAGCTGTGACTCCACAGAGTCTTGCTTTACAGGATGTCTGCAAAAATAAATATATGCAGAGGTCTTAGAAGTGATAAATTATATTTTACTTCTGTTACGTAAGGCTTTTAAAGTTAAGTGTACCTGCAGGATTTTTCTGATGGTGCATCCTTAACAGATGGATCAATATTAGCTTCAGTTACTTTCGGCTGAAGCTCTTCACATGGTTCTAGAATACTTCCAATTCCTGTTGAGGTACTACCCACTGAGGTGTTTCTTCTGTGGCAGAGTTCAGAAAGACTGGATGATCTAGAGTGACATGTACTATATCCTGTTGGAAGAGTGCAGGAAAGTTAGGCTAGGTATGTTGTTGACAACCAAGGTCATTACTTGTATTTTACCATCCTGAAAGCAGAATCTGTGGTTTGTCTTCTTAAAAAAACACTTCAAAAGCCTTACAAATACATGTGCATACACCAGCCAGGCAATTTACTTCAGGTTTTGTATTCTAGCACAGGCTGTTACCCGCTGGTTCTAAGTAAGTCTTGCTTCCTAACAGATAGAATTACTTTGTGTCATTGCTTCCCCTTCAGCTTTTAGAACTAAGACTTCATCTGTAAATTACTTCTTTTTACACATGGAAGAGGTAAAAATCTCATTCAGATATATTAGTTTGAGGACAAAGCTGTCTCACATCTGAGCAGATAATTCGTTGTGCTTTTAAGAGGAAAAAAATTTTACCCTCCTCACACAGAAAGCTAGGAAAAAGCTTTCAACTTTAAACCATTTTTTCAAACATATAAAATATACTTATTTTTTATAATCTAAACTGTAAAAGTAAATAAATCCCAACAATTCATAACAAAATTGTTAACCACTACCTGACAGTTTTGACTGCTGACTTGCATAGCTTGATGTTCTGGAATGCCCACATGCACCAAGTTCATCTGGGACTGAGGCACTCTTTGATGAGGCATCTGTAATATGTGAAGGTCAGATACTGTTGCTAAAGCCATCTTTGTTATTACTTGTTGCAGAAGTACCGTGTGTTAACCAATATGGAGTACTTACAGAAAAAAATCATAATATGTTTCTGTCTGAATAAAAGAGAGCACTTTTGGGCTAGAAAGATTCATATGACATGTAGTTTTAGACTTGTCTATACTGTAGACATTACAGAGATGATCATGCTTTCCACTGTACCATGTTAGAATGGGGTATTGGATGTTTTCTGGCTGAAAAGGTAACTCTGGTTAAGACAACTTAAGCTGTGTTTAGGGTGGAAATTAATAAGCCATGTAAGAGCCTGAAGCTTGTAAGCAATAAAAACCAAGAACACCAAACTCCCAAAATCCAACCTATAATACAGTGTTTTAATAGTATTTTTTTCTATTAGTCTAAATTTTAGAGTAATTACTTTAATTTTAAACAATACTTAGAATTTTTGCCACTCAGAATTCACTCAGTTATGCATATCCCTATGATTTATAAGTTGAAAATCATGTGCCACATTAAATGCTCAGTCAAAATACAAATCCAAAGCAAACTGAAAAATGTGTCCTGCAGAAAAGGAAGGATTTTAAATGTTAAAAAGAAGGCAGGCTATCAGTCTAATTTCTGTTCCTTCTTTCAATTAAGTAAACTGTTACAAAATGAGAGGTTTCACTGGCGTTAAAGTGCATCTCAACAAATAACGAAAGAAGGTCCCTTTGTGGGCCACTGCCAGCATCCTTTAGAATTTCAACTATTTCATACATCTTCTTTAAGCTATGAACTAGTTATCAAAAAACTGAGGAATTAAGAGCATTATTTTATACCTGCTAGGCCCAGATGTAGTACTTGTAAGTTTTCTCCACCTTTCCTGTCTTCATGCAAAGATTCTGATTCTCCAGCAATTGCTATAGACATAGCCGTGGAAGGAGGCCTGTAAAAAAAAGGTGGTTAAGATTTGCTGTACTTTTACTGTAGTCCCTCCAAATTGATCAGCACAGGTCTTTCTTTTCAAGTAAATTGGCATAATTTATACTGTGCTTCAACTTAATAGGCTTGTAACTTTTTCCTGAAAAAATGCTGCCTAGCCCGCTGTTAAGAAGAAAAAAAAAAATTCTTGCTACTGAGCTTCAAGACATTTCACAGAATCCATCTGCTGGGCCCTCAGTCCTGCAGACTTCTGGGGATCCTTGGAAAGGCTTTTCCTTTTTTGATGACTGGTGGAGTGATTTGTGTTTATTTTTAAGTTCTTAATTATTTTTAAGGGTACAAATCACAGGACAATTTATGTGCTAAGAATATAGATAATTCAGTACTTCATGGAATACAGACAAGATGGTATGTTTAAAAAAAAACAAACCCAAGCAAACCCACATGACAAGTTGGCCTAATTGGGTTGTGCTCTGTGATGTACTCCTGGCTTTGTTTCATCCCTGTTACAGTACATGAGGAGTTTATGGGCTGATAACCCTCCCTCTCCTAGCAAAGGGGCCCATGTTACCATCTCCATGTATTTCTCTCTAAATTCTACCTCCTGCAAATTAAAAAAAAACATCATGTTTGACATTATTTAAAATTGGTTCAACATTTAAAAAGCTTTTAATAAAGCGTAAATGCTTGTTTCAGTTTATACCAAAACCCAAAGGGGTATTTTATTAAAATTAATAGATCTCTACATTTATGTATTTCTAGTACAAAAGAAACTAATTAGAAAATGACTAAGTAATCTTCTCTTGCAAGCAAATACAACTAAAACACATTTCAAGATGTTACATACAGTTTTGTTAATGTTTTATTTTTTACTTTGGGAAAAGACTGTTGCTCTGCGTACAGTTGGATACTTGCTGACATTTTTACATTTTACATACTAAATAAATGAGTCACTGTCTTATGTACAGTAACACATCCCCTCATGTTACATTTGCAAGTAAAGAGAGAAAAAGAGAAAAAGGACTTCTGGAACTGTAATGCTTGTGTGACTTAGCTAACATACAAAGGCAAGAACTGAATGCTTTCAGGAATGTCACCTGAGATCAAACATCAAGCCTTCTAGGCTTCTTCATAAAATATGTAGCTGATTCCAGATTGTGAAATTGTTTTAAGGTTTATTTTTCCTTCTACAAAGAACATCTGGATTAGATAATTTTTGTACTGTTTGTGTTGAAAGTTTATGTTCCAGGAAATGGTTATATCATCAGTTAGGAAGAAAATGCCAAGTCTGAATAATTTCAGTTAGAGTTTTTTTTTCCTAGGAAGCCAGAAAACTATTTGGGTATTAATTCAACTGCTTTGGTACCAACCAGTAAGGAAGAGAAAGACATTGCTTTATTAGTATACAAGACTCATGTTCGGTTAGTTACCTTTGAGAAGTTGTTTATCAGTATCAGTAATGTATTTGTTAACAGATCTGACTCAAAGTAAATCAAGATGTGCTAACTAACTAGGGACACAGAAAAGCAATCAAACAAATTCCAATAATACCGTCTTGCTGTTTATTCAGTATGCATGAGATTTCAGAGTGTTCTATATTTTTATTGAAGGTTGGAAGGGAGGGGAAAAGGCTTTAAATGATGCAAGGAGATATTAAAGAGTTCCTACAGCAAATTATCTGAGCTAGGCTGGTGTAGGCAACATTCTTGGATCTCCTCAGAAGCAATGGTAAGGATACAGCCATAACAGTCATGCATGAAATCTCTATTTGCTACAGAAAAAAGTTATCAGTTTTCCTAGTAAAACCTTCAAATCATGAGTTACTTCATACTCACACCTAAGACGGAGTTAGGAGGTCTTGCTGCTTTTCTCATTGCACTTTAAACACAATCTTTTTTACTTAAGGAAGCCTTCAGTATATGTTTACTGCTACAGATTGAGCCTCTATGAGATTGTTATCCCTCTTCATTTTAACATTTATGGCCTATATTAATCTGATAAAAGATGAATTTAAATCTAGTTTATGTAAATATTTTGAATAAAAAAAACCTAATCCATATTGAAGTATAAGTGTTTTAGTGTAGTTTGTAAGTAAGCACTGTATTTTTTACAATGAAAGATCTCTTTGATACAACATACGGTATGAAAGTTGAGAACCTACATAAAAAGTTGAGATTGACATGACAAGGGTGAAGCTAGTAATATTTCTAGATTGTTTTCCTTAAGCTCATTTTTTTTTTCAAATTACATGTAATACTTGAAGCTCTGCCTTAGATTGTTTTTGAAGAGTCTAACATGAGAACAAACATGTTATCTCAGACCAAAGGTCTGTCTAGCCTTGCAAAAAACAGATGCTAAGAGAATATGGGTCACATAGTAATGTATCTCCTGAATATTCTTCCAGCACCATCTCATCTGTAACTTGGGTATTTCTTGAGTCTTTTAAGTTGTGTTATGCTCAATAACTTTTTTTCATAAATTTGTCTTAATTTTTTTCCTGAGCTTTTAATATTCAAAACATGTAGCAGCAAGGAGTTCTACAGCTTAATTGAATGTTGTGGGAAGAAAAAATGTCCTCTTATTTTGAGGCCATCTCCTTCTAGTTTCAGTATAACAATATGGTCAATGAAGTAAACTGAAGAAAAAATTGAGTTAAATTAGAACTTAATTCATTAACACCTTCCCCAAACATGTAGGGAGAAGTAAAACTGATCTAAGTTGGTTTAAACCTGATCCATGCAAAATTACCATCTACTATCGTGTAGAATTGGAAAAAACCTGACATTTAACTGAGAAGCATATACACTTTTAACAACCCAAACTACCAGCATTTGAAATTACAGAAAGTGGTGGCATTAAGAGTCTTGGAAAGTATTGAAAAGCTTGTCAATTGCTCTGTTTCTGTTTAGCCATCCACTAAGCTTGGGTCCCTCATAACAAAATGGTATATTAGTCTAGAAAGAAGGCAACAATTTAATATTACTCATGACTGTATTTTTCCCTAGCATGGGGGATTTTTTTTGTCCTCTGGTTATGGAAGCTAACATGCTCTAGCAAAACAATTACATTTCCTTAGGTACAGATTAAGGGTAACAACGCCAAAGAATCCTGACTATACATCAGTGTATTTCCCTAGCTACTCCTCCCCCACCAAAAAAAAAAAATGTTACCTCTTGCATCTTTTACTAAGTTGCATAACATATTTGCTAACTAAATATCCGTAAGTGCTTTCTCTGGTACTAACTCATATGACACTTCTATTTGTTTTGTGGGGATTTTTAAAAATAAATGTTTTAAAAGAATCTGAGACTTTTGAATAAAAGGTGTAACAGCACATTTTTCAAATACAAGTATTATTCAGATAACCCCATACTAAGTATATTTATATAAGCTTGCTGCAGGAAGAGTTTCCCTTACGTGTTTCTTTCATTTTTATTTAAATTACAGATATGCAGTATTCTTTGCTTGAAAATACACAGCAGGGAGAACTATGATAGTTCTACTGGTATTTTTACTGTGTTGACCATTATTCAGGTACCATCCCATTTTAATTATTTTAATGCTGCCTTTTTTTTTATTGGAGATTGGAGGGATTTACTTTGGAGAGAGTTATAAATGTGAGTGAGAAGTCTAATTCTGAACATGAAATGCTTCGCCAAAACATCACACCAGACAGATTTCTTAAAAACTTACGTTTTGAAGCATGGGTCTCCAGACATTAGTTGCATGTTGATCAAAACCTACATATTAAGAAAACAAAACCCACTGTAAGAAAAAAATTGAATTGGTCTCTGATACATGGTCATGTCACTAAGTTATACTTGCCACAAATCTTACATTTAAGTGAAATAAAGTGGCATAATCATATATGCAAATAAACAGACTTATGCAAAAAACTGTATGTTATTTCTTAGTACACATGCACATAACACAAACTAACATTTTAAGTAAGATAGTTGCACATACGAGATTCTGCAAAAGATACATAAATCAAGAAGAATCACTAATAGTTAAGGTGGCTTCAAGGGAAAACTAGAGAGGCAGGAAATCTAAAAGATTAATGAGCAAACAGAATATTGTTTAAAACAGTGGGTGCTCAAGCATGTTCTTTGCTGAGAGTGTTTAGCAAACTGCTAGCATACAAGAACTGGCTGTGCTAACATCAGAGAAAATAGAACTACAAAAGGTAAATAATGCCATAGGGCAACAATGCATTGAGAAGGCTCATTAGCTAGGTCAAAGCAATCAATTAAAAGTTTTCTGGAAGAAGTCTATGACTGACTTAAAGAAGTCAGAAGGTACATGCTTAAATATTGTACTCAGTAGTATGAGAAAATTATTCCTGTGTCTTTGCAGGAAAATATTTTTAAAACATACTTGTAATGTTTTGAATGCAGCTGTTTTCAGGTTAATGCAGCTTTTTTGATTTTTTTAACTCCCTGGACTCATGGGAGAGAACATCAGGGTGGGTTTCTTCCAACAGCACTCACCACTTGTTACACTGATTACTATCAAGTAGAAAAGGGAAAGTTCCAAAAATCATGGAGGTGTTTGAGCTGGTTTATACTCTTGGAAAAGCTGCACAGGAAGTTGCCCAGTCTTAAAGATATAATTGCTACTTTTATATAATGTATTTGCTTCTTCATCGTGCTTCCCTGGTCTATTTTTTGGTTCCTGTTAGAATAGGAACACCTTTTATTTTACAGCTGTTGAGCTCCATTTCAAGGAGTAGGACAAATTGTATTTTTGACTGCATTGGATTTTAATGATTCTCTCTAAATAACACTGAAGTTTTAATTTCAAATACTTTTCCTTCTAGAAAGAGGTTCAGCAAATACATTTTATATTTCATTAAGTACTTAATAATACTACTTGTTCCTTGGTTTATTAGTTTGGCTATAATAAAGCAAACAAATTACTTTGAGGATGGAGTTATCCTGTCTTGTATTTTTGGTATCGTAGCCTTCCAGTAAACAGCGACGAGTGGTATTTCCCGATCCAGCAAACTCTGCTAGATTTAGATCTGCAAATCCCAGCTGTTAAGGGCAAAATTTGCAAAGTTAGTCGTAAGCATAATACTAAATGAAGGTAGTTCATACATGCACAGTACTGAATGCAACTGAACAGCAGTTTCTGTCAAATATGAATAAGGGGATGTCCATTAAAGGGAGGCAAAAGCAGAAAACAAACTTTAAGTGTCAAATTCTGCATAGATCCATTTTCAGTTAAATATAAAAGTCTAAAGATAAAAATAACAAGGAGAGTTTAATTTATTTGTAAAAGTAAACACATGCTGAAGGGTTTACTTTTATCAACCCTTCAACATACTAAATTGGAATCAAAAAACATTCTGGTGGTATAATATTATTATACACTTATTAAACACAGTGATCAAGAGTTCCAACACCACTGTGTCACTACAATACACACATTGAATTCCTAGGTATTAGAGTACTATTCTGCAATTACTTTAAAAGTAATGACACAAAAAAAAAGGTGATTCATTGGTAAAATTAGATACATCTCATTTTACCTTTGCATATGTCTTTCCTCCTTTTAGCTCCTAGGAAAAAAAAATACATGCCATTAAGACATTGAAGATACTGACTGGGTTTTTGCGTTTGTTTTGTTTTTTAGAAAAGCAAATACTAATCTTTATTTTAAAATAGCTCACCATATATTTGCTAGCCTGTAACACTGTTATTTAGAACTTAGTATTAATGACATCCTCAGTGCAGGCCAGCAAGAGACTGTCATTTTGTGGAGAAGGGGAGAGCGTGATGCCACCAGCATTTGGCTCTCACAGAATTAAGTCCCAAAGGTAGGAAATGTTGCATATAAATTCTGGTACTTAGCACAGTTCAAGTCTTCCAAATTTACTACTGCCTACCAAGGCCTAACTTTGTGAAGACTGATGTCCTGCTTGAATAAGTGTTCTTTTCAATAAGAACATTTAAAAAAAAAATTATTTAGTCAAACTAGGGTAATTAATAAGATAACTACAAAATTTTTAATAGAAGAATACCTGACATGGTTGCAGCTAAAATTTGTTTTAGGAAGTTTAATAGACATTTAAAAATCAAACCAAAACAAGTGAAGAAAGAGCAGGGAAAGA